GAACAAAACTCAAAATCATTTAAAAAAAAAAGACCAGATTTGCTGGTCTGACAGAGCCTGGGGAAACAATTGAGACTATGGCCCCTAGGTACCCTTCAGGTCTGGAATTGAACCCACTCTTGTGGCTTCCAGCCAAACAAAAGACAGGCATATGAACTGAGCATTTACATTAGGTAGATACACTGCTTGGAGAGAACAATCGTGGGAGAATAGAAGGGCTATCTATGCACAGGGAGGTAGCTCAGGGGGCAGCAGTGCATGGGAGGGAAGGACACAGGGAAAAGGTAACTATGGGGAGGAAGTGGGAAAGGAGCTGTTATATTGTGGGAAATTGTAGTCAATGTCATGAGACAAAGTGTATGTAAGCTGCTGTATGGAAAGTGAATTTGCTCTGCAAACTTACACCCAAATCACACACATACATACACACACACACAGATTTGACATAAGCAATGATAGTAAGGCTTTGGGAGAAGTTAAGAATTCTTTTGTTTCAGCATAAACTGAAAACTAAATATTTGAGAGTAGAGTTGTCTCTCTTCTTTGTGTGTCATTCACATGTCCTCCATGGTGTCATGCCTGCATCCACTCAGAGCTCCAGCAGGTCACTGGACAGTGCTTCCCAGGGAAATGCAGTCCAACTTGGGCATGTTTGACTCTGTCCCCAACACAGGACACAGTGAGAATAAGTTGAAGGTGATGCACTCCTCACCATGATGCCTTTTTTTCTTCCAGGGACTCTGACCTATTTTTGTTGGACACACGTGTTGTGTGGGCCTCAGAGGAAGGCTGGCTGGAATTTGACATCACGGCCACGAGTAATCTGTGGGTCGTGACCCCACAGCATAACATGGGGCTTCAGCTGAGTGTGGTGACAAGGGATGGTAAGTTATGTATCAGCGATTCCTAAAGCTGGGCAGAGAGTTGTTTTCATTCATTTTGTTTCAGCAGTTATCCTTAGATCCAAGATGACCTAATTTATTGTTCCATAGAACTTCTATTGAAAAATAAAACCTGTCTTTGGCATCTGTTAGGAAGGATCTGGAACCAGGGCTGGACTATGTCCAGCCGGAAGCTTGGTCAAGGTTCCAAAAGTAACCATGGAAGAACAGCTTTTAGGTGGGAGGATGTTGAGACCAGGACTGGGGAAGGGGTGTAAGTTTGAACACTGACTGTTGACTAGGTTTGCCTGAGAAACATTCGAGCAGCCCTTTCTCCTGAAGCATTAAAGCTCCTCAGCTCTAGCTGCCAGTTCCTGTGTGGGCTCAGATTGTGCCAGCATTGCTGGTGCAGTAGCCTCAGCTGTTGGGAAGATTACATATAAGAAGAATAAGAATTTCTGTGTGGAAGACCCAAGAGTTCAAACCCCTCCTTGATTTGATTTACCTAACTTTAGAAACTGTGTTTGACTTTTTCCATCCCAAAGAAGACATCAGGATTGGACAGTTTCAATGCTCTTCCCCAATTCTCTTTCTTTATTAGCAGTTACAGGCTAGAAGGGACCACTTAGCTGTGTAGCTGCAATAGAGAAGCTCAGACAACTAAATCAAGGTGTGATATGGTTTGCATTAAAGGTCTCAGCATCAGCCCAAGAGCAGCCGGCCTGGTGGGCAGAGATGGCCCATACGACAAGCAGCCTTTCATGGTGGCCTTCTTCAAAGTCAGTGAAGTTCACATCCGCACCACCCGGTCAGCCTCCAGTCGGCGCCGCCAGCAGAGTCGCAACCGCTCTACCCAGTCCCAGGATGTGTCCCGGGTTTCCAGTGCCTCAGGTAGGTTTGTTGTTGTTGTTGTTGTTATGTGCCATCAAGTCGGCCCCGACTCATGGAGCTTATTTTTCTGGGAAGCCTTATTGGCTTCAGTGCCTTGGCCTTTTAGCCTCAGTGAAAATCAGTGACATGCTGATGAATACAAATGTTGACAGCAACTAAAAACGCCTGTACATATAGTACGGAATTCCTAGGTGGTACAAATGGTTAACGTGTTTGACTGCTAATTGGAAGGTTGGAGGTTCAGTTCCACCCAGAGGTGCCTTGGAAGAATGGTCTGAAGATCTACTTCTAAAAAATCAGCCATTGAAAACTCTAGGGAACACAGTTCTATCTTGACATGCATGGGCTTGCCATGAGTTAGAATCAAGTCAATAGCAACTAGAATATATAATATGAATGACAGTGCTTCTTCACAGTCAATGGTTATGCAGATGTGCACCCAGGATGATCAGAGCTAAATATTTGTCATCTGAAGGTAGAGTCTGCAGGCTGCAGACATCTTCAGAGTGTGTATGCAGAAAAGTGTTGCTTGTTTGGTTCCATTTCTCCAACTCTTTTTCCATTAACATAAAGATCCTGAAAGCACCTAGATTTTCTCCTAGTTGTATTATGCCTGGGAGGTGTACAAACAAACATTGCATGTTTATGTAGGATGGACTTATATTTGTTTGTGCTCTTGGGTGAAGTGATAGAAAGTCCACTCAAACTCAAATAAAATCCTGCATGGTGGATTTTTTTTTCTCTCACTTAACTGGGAAATTTAAGGTTCCAGCTTTAGGCATGGCTAGATCCAGGGGCTCAGGTGATATTAGGAGTCTGTCTTTCTCTTTTTCTATTTCCCTTTGCTGGTTGCATCCCAAGAAAGACTCTACATGGTGATACGGAAGGCAATTAGTAGTTTTAGGATTTTATCACCCATAGCAACTGCATCCTTAGGAGAGCACCTCATTTGTGGTAGCTTTGTGGAATCATCTAGGAGATGATTCTGAATGTTTTGACTTGGGTGAGGTGCCCACCCTGAAGTTTACTGTCATGGGTGAAATACTCTCATTAGCCAGGCCAAAGTATGTGCTCATCCCTGGAGCTAGGAAGCAGAGTCAGCCTCATTCTACCCAAATAGGCTTGGAAAAGATGTTTCCCCAAAGGAAAATAGGCATCCAGTTACCAAAGGAAGTGGGAAGTAGGTCAAGGTAAGCAATAACAAAATATGTCCACTAAAGAAATGAATATTATAAAAGGTCTCCTTAGGTCTGTATTATCTATACATGTTGTTAGCTTTAGGTGTATACTAGTTTGTTTGATCAAAGTAATAATGGAGTCACAGTGAGATTTTGGCTTACCCTGTATTTTCTGGAATACAAGAGAGCCTATGGGAACGTATCCTGCTGTTCAGTTGGGGCAGTTTTGGAGAGCCACTGTTTATGATTAACAGTTATTATTTGAACACCTGCTGTGTGTTGGACACTATAGTAGGCATCTAATCGCACTAAAACCTACAATCTTGATATCTCCTCTTGATAGATGAGAAAAGTGACGCTCAGGGGGTTAGGTAATTGCCTAATGTGGAAATTTTGGGATAGCAGTTATTCATCCCTGTCTTTTCCAAATTATTAATCATTTGAAAGTAGACTTGCAGAAGCAAAGAAAAAAAATATATAGAATCAGCTCTATATTGGTAAAGATTGTTTGGGAAATGCTGAGAGACCTCCTATCGCCCTTCCTGTTCCCCTCCAGGGGCTCTCAGCCTTCACTGTACATCACCATCACCCCAACCTTAGAGACTCTGATTCTGTTAGCCTGAAGTAGAGTTGGGGAATGTGTTGAGAACCACTGGCTTAGACTTGATGATCTCACAGTTCTAACTAAACCAGTCACAGGACTAGAGAAACAGACACCTAGCCCAGACATAGCATATTCGTTTTACCACACACACACACACACACACAAAGGACAAAATAGAAGATACAGCTCCCACTGCCAAAGTTGCAGTTCAGTAGCCCTTCAAAATATCCCCTCCGATACTGTGACTTCATAAAAAAAAAAAAAGAAGAAGAAAAAAAACACACTACCATCGAGTCAGATTCGACTCATAGTGATGACCCCTCCTTGGGTTTCTGAGGTGGTATCACTATGGAAGTAGATTGCCCTACCTTCCTTCCAAGGAGTGAGTGGTGGGTTTGAACTCCAAACCTTCTGGTTAGCAGTCAAATGCCTTAGGCACTACACCACCAGAGCTCCTCTGTGACTTCATAGGAGGTAGGAGCTCTGGTAGCATAGTGGCTAAAGCACTTGACTGCTAACCAGAAGGCTGGTGGTTCAAACCCACCAGCCACTCCTCAGAAAGAAGGTTGGGCAATCCTACTTCCATAGTGATACTGCCTCAGAAACCCAAGGAGGGGTCGCTATGAGTCGGGGCTGACTCGATGGCACATAACAACAACAACAACATTGAAACACTAAGGAAGGGAAGTAGGTGTTCATTCCCTCCTCACAGCTAGCTCACATTGCTAGTAAGTATTGGATTCAAACCCAGATGTGTCCTATTCGACTGAAGTTTATGAATTTTGGACTCCCTCTGATTGTTGAAATAGCCTGGGAATCAAGCATGAAGTTGAAGAGCAGTGAGAATTGCAATCAGAAACTTTCCTCGTTCCTAGCCATATGACCTTGGATAAATCACCTTGTCTGTTTCAGCTTCAGTTTATCCATCTATAAAGTGGGAATGGGTGACTAATATATTTAGATTTGTTAGGATTAAATGAAAAATACTTAATCTGATTTATGTTGTTATTGTTGTTAAGCTGCCATAAAGTAAGCCTCCTATTCACGGTGACTCCATGCACAACAGGATTGGATTCTTGTGATGATTTTTGAAAGTAGATCACCAGCCTTTTCTTCCTAGTCTTAGTCTGGAAGCTCCACTGACATGTGTTCAGCATCATAGCAACATGCATAATGCAAATCAAACCAAACTCACTGCCATTGAGTCACATCCAATTCATAGAGCCTCCTCCTTGGGTTTCCGAGGCAGTATCACTACAGAAGTAGATTGCCTAATCTTCTTTCTGAGGAGTGAGTAATGGGTTTGAACCACCAGCCTTCTGGTTATAGCAACATGCATTATGTTGTTGTTGTTGTTATGTGCCGTCAAGTCGCACCTGACTCATAGCAACCCCTCCTTGGGTTTCCGAGGCAATATCACTACGGAAGTAGATTGCCACATCTTTCCTCTGAGGAGTGGCTGGTGGGTTTGAACCACCAGCCTTCTGGTTAGCAGTCAAATACCTTAGGCACTATGCTACCAGAGCTCCCAACATGCATTATAGCATTTAAATATTAATTCCATCCAATCGTAGGAAGTAGTTTCTCAGGGTGTATGTTAGAATCCCTGGAAACAAAGTAGTTCTAGAAGATGCCTTTATTCTTCTAAGTTACCGGTGATTGTTTATAAATGTCATCTTCAGTGGCCAGAAAGAGTGAATGCAAGTCCCCAAAGTGCCCAGTTTTTCCTGGAGGAGAAGTATCTTCATTTAAGGTTCTGACTTCATAAGTCATTGCTTTCACCAGCAACTTGGATGTGGAACCTGATGGCCCACCACCCAGTGTGATATGACATTTTGCTTCTTGTCATCCTGATGTTTCTCGGAAGCCTCACACAGCATGAGTGTTCCTGTGTTTACTGCCAGAAACAGGCAGGATTGGGTTGTTTTTTTTTAAAAGAAAAAACAGGAGAGGAAGAAGGAGAAATGCTTGCCATCCTTTCTTCACTGAGGAAACCTGCTGAAGAGAATTAATAATCTCCATGTCTTCCTTCGGAGCGTGATGATGATGTAAATTAGGCCAAAGCCAGGCCTAATTCATTAATGGCCAGTGGTCACTTTGAAGGACTGGGATCTCAGACATGGAGGCATCTCTGGAAATGTTGATTGCTTTGTTGAAATTAAAATTTCACTTAATTTATCCCTATCCCTCTTAAACACTAGTTTTTATTTTAATTGAGAAAACATGTTGCCCTTGATATTTTACTTTCACAGTGTCACTCAATGACTCTTTTCCACATTTCCTTTCAACTTTTTTCCAATATGATGAGTTTAAATTAAATACAAATATTAAAGCTGATCTCATCTGTAGTAAAATGAAAGCTAATCTGTTTTTTCTTAGTTTACCCCCTCACCCTGCACCTCTCTACCCAGTGCTTCCAAATTTGCTTTACTCCTGTCAGTAGTACTAAGGCAAAAGAGCTCATAACAAATGCCTCAGGCCTCACATATTTAGAAACCCAGACCCTCAAGCAATTGTGTACAAAAGATACTCCTTCCTTCTCCTCCTCTTTAAAGGTCTTCTCAAGCTGGTCCGAGAAATTGCTCATGTTAGGCCGAGTGTCCAGAATGCAATTGCCGTAGAGTCAACTCCAACTTCTAGCAACCCCCTGTGTGTCAGAGTAAAACTGTGCTCCACTGGGTTTTTGATGGCTGACTTTTTGGAGGTAGCTTGCCAGGCCTTTCTTCCAAGGTGCCCCTGGGTGGACTTGAACCTCCAACCCTTCAGTTAGCAGCTGAGAGCTTAACCATTTGCACCACCCAGGGACTGCAGGCCCACTGTAGTGCTACATTATGTACTTGGCTCTTTGTTCCTTATTTATTCTTGCTGTTAGTGAGTGAGGACATGCAAAAGAAGAGATTGCTCTCCAAGAAGGGATATCCAGAAGGATGGTGTGCACCTGGAGAAACAGGCCATCCGGATTCAGCTCTCCCTCCAGGCCCCTGGGGGCCAGATGTTGCTGTGACAGAAGAGCTGGGATCTGGTGTGACTCCACTAGTCTTTATCCTTGTAAATCTTCAAGAAGGTAGAAGGCAGAGATTAGTTTGCCTCTGCTGCCCCCTTCTTTCACAACAGGCTCCCAGTGAAGGAACACCTCTCCACTGAAACAACAACCCTCAGAAGAAACCCACCAGAGATTGTCCTGCATCTGGGTAGAAAAGTTAACGTAATTCATCAAA